AGTGTAAAAATAATATGTCTGTACAGGATCCAGAATTTGAGGTTATAATAATGGAAATTGAGGTCGCGGAAATTAACGCTCTACGTAATTAAAATGTCGCGGAAATTAACGCTCACAAAAATTAACGCGACTTAAATTTACGCGAATTTTCAAAATTCGCGTTAATTTCACGGAGCGTTAATTTCCTATAATAAGGTAGAACATTTTAATGTGATCCTGTAGTCGATCCTGTAATTGAACGCAGGGTTCTAGTTAGCTTTTAAACATGATTGTAAATAATTTTGCAATGTTACATTTTCAAATCGCTTCGATTGAGAAGATGTATCAAACACTTGAGACAGTGTTTCATCCGATTTCCAAACACCTCGAATTTCGTCAAAAATACTCCACTGCTCGTCGTTTTTCCATCGCTCTTCTCAGTGTACGTTGGAAATCGGATGAAACACTGTATCTCGTGTTTGATATATTATATCAAGTCTAGCACAGCTTAGCACTCTCAGGCAATAATTTGTTACCTGTTTGTAAAGGCCGTGGCAAACGAGGAAACATTGTTGCGGAAACATTGTTGCGGACGCAAATGTTTCCCCGTTTGCCCGCGCACGAAACATTTGTTGCGGACGCTTCTTTCAGAAACATTTTGCGCCCGCAACAAATGTTTCCCCGTTTGCTCGCCGAAACATTTTGCGTCCGCAACAATGTTTCCTCGTTTGCCACGGCCTTAAGATATGTCGCTAACAGGTTAAAATAATAAATTATATTTACATGTAGCTAATTTTTATGGCCATGATAGCCGAAACTAAGAAGTCATGTAAAAGCTTTTTGTATTGTGGATTTAACTAAGACTCCACTGCAATGGTAAATGTTTGGATCTGCACTGAAAACGTCCCGAAAATATGATGAAGATTTCTGTAACACTATCACTACTATCTATGCTAGGATTTTCAATCTGATCATCTCGACTGAAGCACAGGATGTACCGGTCAACAGAAACAAACAAACCACTATATATTTAGTGGTCTAACATTGGTTTAGGTTGTACACGTTACCGTCCAATGGACACTACTGAATGTCCATGTTCCTTTAGATACACTGAAGACCCATCCTGCAGCATGCGAAGTTTAGCCATGTAATGAAGGCCGTTTTTGAGCCTCGATTAAGTCTTTGTTGACGTCGCCGTAGGCAACCGATATTCGATTCTGTAACGTAGAAATAAATGAAAGTAAATTGTAACAGTGAGAGAAATGTACCGATTCACTGAACACCATTTCAAGTCTTTCAAACTTCTTACCGTGAATATATATTTTGTTAAACGGTTTTGTATCAGAAGGTACTTGCTTTAAAATGACAAATACATGCTGAATGGATGAATACCCAAGCAACACAAATTAAAGAAGCTTTGATAAGTGTGAACTACTTTAGTTTCGCTTTATACATTCATTATTGATAGCTCAGTCAATATGATAATTTTTGTATGGCACTGATTGAAGCCGGTTTCTTAGGCGAAATTATCCAACAACTTTTGCAGTTTAATATTTTTTTAACGTTAGTATTGTTAGTATTTACAATGTCTGATTCAAAATCAAGTTGTAAAATGCGCCGGCGAAATTAAATAGGTAACTGGCTATAAATATTACTTAGGTCATAGATTCGACTCCTGTTGGAGGAACTCGAAATTATTTTCAGTTTTGAGTAGCTTGTGTCACTGACTAATAATATCTTTCTCCTTGTGTATCTACCAAGCTTAAAATTTACCATCATTTCTTGTACTTACCTTTGTTCGTGTAGAGTTCAAATCTTCCAGAACGAAACTAACACAGTATAGTACGTCTGACTGCCGTTTGGTAATATAAAGTCCTTTCAAAAGTTATCAAAATAACTTTTCCACGCGTTATTCTGTAACCAGTTTTGAAAAGCAAAAATCGATGTGGCTTTATGGTCTATATATATATATTTCTTTGAAGCATAACGAATATTGATTACAATTTAATTTCTGCAGGGAAGCAAATTTAATCTCTTAAGTGCATGCAGATACTAAAATTTAATAACCAGTTATCACTACCACCTGCTGATGTTGTAATCACTTTTACCCCGGGGGGGGGGGGGGTACTCCCTTATATAAGCTATATAGGTATGTGCGGCGCCAAAGGGTATGGTTTTTGAGCCGTTTTGGTCTGAAAACGGGTATAGATTTTGACCATTTTGGTCTGAAATAGGGTATGTTTTGCCTACTGGTCTGAAATAGGGTATAGATTTTTGCCATTTTGACTTTAAAATGGAGAAATTTTCCCCGAAATGTTAAACGTCAGGTCTGAAATAGGGTAGGGAAAATCACATATTTTGGTCTGAAATAGGGTAAGGGTTTCAAGAAGCGTGCCGCACATCCCCACCCAAATTTTGGGGAGTACCCCCCCCCCCCGGGCTTTTACCAGACAATTTGTTTTCAGTTTTATTAAAGCCACAGCTTTAAATTATTAAAAACGTTTCAACGTAAACAGGTAAATGAGGTTAATTAAAAACGGAAAAGCACCGTGAACTAATGATCAGCCTCACAACTTTGCCATATCGTCAGATTGTTTTTTTTTAAATAGTTTAAAGATATATTGACACTTTACTCCTAGATAAGATATAACTATATTTATTGTACATACAAATATTTCTGGTGTGATAAAATTGTTTAATTCTAATGAAAGATTTTGGCAATGTATTGTGAGTGTAGATACAAATGTTTCTGGTTTTATTTGATTAAATGTTTAACCCTAATGAAATATTTTGGCAATCAGGCCTTTGGGCAATGCATTGTGAGGTTTTTTATCTGTTGAAAATAGAAGGTTTCCTCTAGCCCTAAATTGTTGTTATTCCTTTCTTCTATTAGCTAGCTTCCTCTCTCAATTTCAATTTAGTTAGTTTTCACTTCTCAAGTGAGCCTTTTGTCATCTTCGCCATTATATTAGATGAAATGTAATCTATTATAATTGTGGAATTCTTTTTCTCCTTTTTCTCCTTTTTTTTTTGTAATCACTTTTTTGTAACCTACATAACTTTACTATGAAAGGATTGTAACATAATTTCGTTTTGTAACTGGACAAAATAAAATAAAAATAAAAATCATTTATCATACACTCGTGAATTCAATTCCGGTTTCCAAGGAGATAAATCAGTAAAACGAGGTTGCTAAATTGATAGTTTCTCTGACCTGGTCTGTTAATTTCCTTTGGATAAAGGTATTAGCTGAAACAATCAAGAAAAACGAAAATATCAAAAGATGTCCTTCTATAAATAAATGACAACGAAGTCCAAATTAGCCAGTTAATCGTAACAGTAACAAGATTCTCGTTTCTGATTGGTTTTCCGCGCGCCTATATTTGTTACGTAATTGGAGCGCGCCGGTCACGTAGGTGTCCAATTACAGGTGTCCAATTTAAACTTTTTCAAATTGGATCGCTGTAATTGGACACCTACGTGTCAATCACGTGCATTTAAATGGGTTCTTACCGTTTCCCTGTGGTTTGTAAAACTGATGGAATATATCACTGACATTTTCACTAAAATGAGAGGTTCTCTCAGACTTCCTAACATCGAATATTGTTATTGGTACGATTAATTGGTAATCGGACCTCGTGTCGTGCAATTCAGGGATTAATCGTGCTTGTAATTTCAACTCGAAATTTCGATTTCAAAATTACTCGCCTGATTACTCTCTGACTAACAAACAACACTAATATTTTGGATGGTTCGAATGACTCCCCCATCTTCTCCACATGTTATAAAACTTTCCAGCATGATATTCGACCTCAGACTCAAATTTAAGTAAACAGAAACAATTTGATTGGTACCACCCTTATAATATTGGATTACAGTCAACTCTCTCTTAACGGACACCTCTGTAAGACGGGCACCTGGTGTTGGTCCCTGTGTACTGTTTTCAGTCATTTTACTGCATCTAAACTCTCTATAAGCGGACACCTCTCTAAGACGGACAGTTGGTGCCGGTCCCGATGGTGTCCGTCTTAGAGAGAGTTGACTGTAGAACAAAAACCCAAGCTTGCTGGGAGAAATTAAAAATCTAAATGAAAACAAATGGGCAAAAAGCAAAGTGGCGCTTTAGGACCCTTTAGGATTATGGCTTTAATTTGATCCCGAGTTTAACTATAATGAAAAGTTAATTGAAAGCAAGAATTGTTTAACTGCTGGAACCGTCGTAGACTAAACGTATTTGGGCTCAATATCCGCAGTTCTCTGGTGTCCTGTCGTTGCGCGGGCTCATTCATTAGAAAATCACAGAATATTTTGACGGTTCCCCTTACTAACAAACCACCATGTTTAGGAAAAAGATAAGTTTTTTCTTGCCAAATTCTAATACTCTAAGTCAACTACGTCTCTCATTGCGCGCATAATTCGCCACTTTAGAAACGAGTCGCATCTCGCAGTCGCTTGAGAGACCGTTACTGGGGACACGTTGTGAAGCTGGTCGCCATTTTGTTCTCGGTAACGGTCCCACAAGCGACTGCGAGATGTGACTCGCCCCAGATTGCTTCTCGTTTCTAAAGTGGCGAATTCTTGGCCGCTCGAAAGAGGCGTCTGAGATTTGACCCGAAAATTCCATACTGATGACGTAGCTCTATAGAGATGAGATTGAGAACGAGGTTGAGATCAGGATTGGGATCGAGAAGACTTGCTCTAGTATTCAAAGTAAACACAACCCAATTAAACAGTGTCAATGTTGTTCATTTATTGATTTCTTAAAAGCACAAGGTTAGTTAAACAAGGTTAAAGTCTGTCTACAAGTCAATTGGCTTATCAGGCCGGCGCTTACTCCGATTTCCATAGCATGAAGCTGACTAGGAGTATTGCTACTCCCCTGGATGGGATGCTAGTCCATCACAGGTAACCCCCCAGCTTTTTTGTCAGGTTGCCCTGACAATTCGCCGGTACCCATTTATACTCCTGGGTGGAGAGAGGCACTGTGAGAGTAAAGTGTCTTGCCCAAGAACACAACACAATGACCCCGGCCAGCGCTCGAACCTGGACCACTCAATCCGGAGTCCAACGCGCTACAACCATTAGGCCACCGCGTCTCCCACACAAGGGCAGTTTTCAAACAGTAAACTTCATTTATAAGCGCAATTTATTCATTTACGAAGCCGGGTGGAGTTGAAAACGTTGTAAGAAAGTTTTGGTTTACAGCTTCCCTTTTCTTGTACAAGGCCTTAAAAGCGGGTTTGAACTGCGGATTTAAGATTCCATAGACCACAGGATTCAAACAACAAGTTAGAAATACGAGATAACTCGATATCATCAACGGCAAATCCAAGCCTTGTCTTCCAGCAGACAGCAAAATAACAAGGAGTGCTTTCGGAAACCAGCAGAGGACAACCACACAAGCGATACCCACTGTAGTATGGATGCACATGTTCTCGGCGCTGTGTGCGTTTTGGCACGCCGCTCGATTCGACCGCGTGCAAATCTGAATCCTGTTCCGTCGAACAGTGTTGTAAATTTTAAAGTAACACCAGCCGATTATGTAAGGCGAAGGCTGCGTTACCACCAGGAAAATCATGTAGGAAGTGTTTAGCCAGTTAAACGACCATTCAAACGTGCAGAGTGTAGACTCTGGGTAATACCTGTACTTTCCCCATCCGTAAAGCGGAGGACTGCAGGTTACCAGTGGTACAATCCAGCACAGAGCAACTAAGATTCTTGGTCTGTTTTTATTTTTGAAGAAAATACTGTTATACAACTGAGGTTTGACGACCTTGAAGTATCTGCTGAGCGCAATGAGCAACAGAGAATAGAGGGTTGCGTTGGCCATAGCGAAAAACAAAAATCCTGAAATGTTGCAGATGACATTGCCAAAATCCAATGTCCTTTGATCAGGCTTGTGATCCATAGAGGCATAATGAGGAGGGTTTCGGCCATGTCGACGAGGCACAAGTTTGCAATAATCTTATTTGTGAATGTTTTGAGGCTTGAGTTCGTCTGAATTGCATAGAGCACGACAGAGTTGGTAAGGATAGAAGACACAAAGATGAGAATAGCGGCGAATGCTTCGAACACGATTTCGACATAGTTTCGTCCAAATGGATCTCCGTTGAATGCTGATGAATTGTGACTTTCTTGGTCTCTCATTGCAGAAATGTAATGTTCAGTTCCTGTGAAAAAATTGCAAAAGACCTGCATTAGCTATAATTAGAATTATTATCCAATGAAACTTTAACGCCGAATATTTCAACAAAGTTTATATATAGGGTTTAACAAAACCGTGGCCTAACCCGATTTTAAACTGGCCAACCTAAATGTGTTAACATCATTCACAGTAAACCCTGTTTAGAAGATGTATAACACAGACTAAAAAAAGAATTACTACATAACTTAGTCTGACCTACTTATAAGTAGATTTAGATCTCATTAAATTCTCTCAAACAACGGCCGAACCTTTTTTATAGCTGTCGTGAACTTTGAAGACAATTCTGGATCATCGAATGTTTTCTTTTCTTTGTAATTATTCAAACTCCTGATCACTAGAGTACCCGATGAAGTTATATATTTCTGTACCTTTGGCTAACTGGAAACGCACCAACTCAATTAAGCCGTAAATAAGGACTGCAAATCACTGTACAACCCTTCACTTGACCTTCACCTTATATGTATTTTGTGTGGGAGCCAAACTACAGAACTATGACACGATACTGACAACGCTGAGAACTGTGAAGAGACGTTCACCCTGAAGACGGTCTAAAACCCAATGAATTCAGCAACATACCATGCAGTGCATTGCATGAATTTTGCGGGTTTAAATTGAAATAATCCCAAGTTAGCGCGGATTTCACAACGAATCCTCAAAAAATAACCAGCTGCGAGCAGAGGTCTCCTGTCAGTTCTTTCCTGTATCGGAAAAGTGACGTCACACAGGAGGTAAATACGACGTCTGCACGCACTGCAATATCCTATGGCTTCCTGTCTTAATGAATGAAAAGGGCATTTTTGATTTTTCACTTTTGTATTTCGTGCAATTACGTTTTCATTAGTTGCATTACGATTTTAGTTTACTGGGTTTTTAATCGCGGAAATGAACCTGTCAGGGTGATATGCTCCTGACCTGCACCGTACCAGAAAATATCGATCTTCGAAATCGCATAAATTAAGTACCGCAAAAAATCCCACCCAAATTGCAAATCCGTCAAAATTTAACTCTAGCTAGAACAAATTTAATTTTGATTTCGCCAGCTGCTCCCGTTCTGCTGAAGGTAACTGAGGTCTTCTCTCGTTCCTGTTCCTCGAGGGAGAACGAGGGAAACAGCTGAAAGATCGTAAGCCGTTAATTAAAAATCCTTTTGGCACTTGGATTGTTGTCACCAGTCAAATTTTGTGTCATTTCTACGTTGAAAAACGTACAAACGAATATTGTTTTAGAAAAGTCATTTTATTAAGACCGTTCATAAAAAAAAAATATTTTCATCTGCGCCCCTTCTCACTGTCTCATCGCCTCGAGGGGTTATTAATTGTTTACTGCAACGACGACAAATTAACCCTTTCACTCCCAGAGTCAAACCTCGAATCGATAAATGTGGTTCTAACTTTTGAGTCTGTGGATGAAACCCTAGTGTGTGACCATTCAAATGAAAGCTGTTGAGCAGTACTTTCATGTGGTGCTGTTTGTTTTTGACAATTTTGCAAAATGAAATTCACGATTTTTCCTCAGTTTTGAACTTAGCACTCTTGGAAGTGAAAGGGTTAATACGCTTAAAATAATTTAGAATATTACAAAGCAGTATAAAGGGAAAACAGGTCTAGGGTTTAATCTTTCATGAAGCTATATCAAAACGTCATTCATAATAAATGAAGCTCGGGTTCCCGTAGAAGATATTGTCTTTTAATAAACATGTCGAAACAAAAAAATAATAGGTTATGTCAGATACAGATATTGATTTTATCGCGTTAAAAGGAAACATTGTTTTATTGTGTCAAGCTCATTTATCAATTGCGACATTCACTGAAACGTTCTCGGGTAGAATGGATACAGATCAACGTTTTTTAATAAACGGCTTTCTCGACTTCCATATTCAAACATAAACTTGTGAACCATGCAATTTGCTTCTTCATAAATATCATCTTTGGAGGCTTAATTAAAAGGGTTGTTTTCATTTTAATACTGTATCCGCATTTTAGTTTACATTTTGTAAAAATTAAAGTCTGCCATATTTGGGCTCAGTGCGGGGTAAAAACGCAACAACAAATAAAATTAGTGCATGTTTGGGCTTTTCAGTACAAACTGGTGTTTTTTTTGGCGACAACTTAAAGGCTAGTTGACAACTTAAGGCTAGTTGATTTTAACCTTGCAAAAAAAAATCATTTTGGCGTTTCTTTACATTAGCAGAGTAAACCTTTACTTTCTCAGTGTAGCTTCCCATCAAATGACACCGCGTCCAGAACAAAAACGTAAAGATAGCTAGCCGACTTTATTTTTCACTATGGTGATCTATAGCAGGTTTTTTTCCTGCTCTTTCACCTTCCAATGATATTAATGAACAAAAATAAACCCGCCCACCAAACAAGACCTAGTATTGTCATCTAAGCAGATATATACACCGAACTACAAAAAAATTAATAAATTGGAAATAATACTTTTTTAAAAAGGAAACTAGTGGCTATGCATAGTTTTTACAACCCTAATTTCAAAAACTAGCCTACCTATTCAAAAAAAAAGTTGAAGTTTGTATGCATGTATACGGTCGGGTATGATAATTAATTTCCTTTAGGGTAGAATATAATAAATTTTCAGAGCACACGGAAAAAGTGACAATGTTCTTAGCAGTTCTGAAATAACTAAAACATTTCTAAAGGAAAATCAGTCCGGAAAAAATCTGAGATTTTAACAGGGTTCAACTCTGATAAATCATGCGCCGTGAGCGGTGTAAATGAACCTCTAATCAATGCATGGGCTCACTTAGAGCAGATATTTCACTGATTCATCAACCCAAATTAAATATTGTGGTCACTAAAAGCGACTCGGTTGCCTTGGTGTATTGTTTTAACTATAATATGTTTTTCTCTCAGCGCTATTTTTTCCGTTATTGCATTGACCAATCTTGAAGTTTTGAGCATAACAACTTAGCTTATTCCTGCGTTTTGTTTCAAAGTCTATATTAAGAGAAACGTCTTCCATTTTTGCCGAAGTTTCAAATGAATTTAGCTCATGAAAATGCATAAGCTTAGCTAAAAGTTAAAACGTTTTTAACAAAGAGTGAAAGAGAATACTGTAATTATAGGCTAACCGAGAGAGTATATTCTGCCTGGTGTGTTTAAAACGGTTCATACCTCGAATTTCATAATAGAACCTTTTTGTAAGATTGAACACACGCCGGAGGCTTTTAAACCGGCCTTCGCTCACCGGGCGGTACATTGTTGTTGTTGCTTTTCTTCTAATTCAGCTAAACGATCTCTACTATATCATGACAGTTTCCAGTAAAACAAATGTCTGGGAAAAACCATATTTTTATATAAATCCACATCAAATTTAAAAGCAGTGTATGAGGTTAGGCACCGAACTGATTTTACTGATGTAAAAATGGTTTACACGGCAGCATGACCTCAATGACATACTTGATAAAGATTATAAATCATATTCTAAAGAACCGTGGTTCCTTACCTTTCTCTTTGTTAACCTGAAGTTCCTTGAGGCAATAAAAATGTATTCTTTGCTTTCCAAAGCCGCCCAGTAAACGCTTAAATGCGTAAAGACACCCTTCACGGCGCTGGTGTGAAATTTCTGGTCGCGTGTTTACTTAACAGCAAAGGGTTTTAAATATACAAAGCAATTACTGTATTATTAATGACATACAAATGCTGCTCTTCCACTAACAATCGATTTCCTTCGGTCCAAGACAGGAAATTTAAATCAACAGTACAGAATGAATTTCACAATACGCAGTGAAATTAAAATCGGAAAATCGAAAAATCTCGGGTGTGAATCAGTTTTAGAGAGCGGTGTCTAAGAACTGCCACCAGTAGCGGTTATACACCTGTTTCATCAAGTAAATATGAGGCCAAATTTGGCTCAAATGCGAGAAAGAACGTA